TCAGGTGCATTGACTTTTTGTGTGTGTGTGTGTGTGTGTGCTTCATCTGAGATGTGTACTATAGGCTGCCTGGATGAAAATGTGTGTGTGGCTTTCTCTCTCGCCTCTGGCTCAGATCTTTTCACGGCTCGGTTACAGGTGCCAGCTCCTGCTTTTTTTATACTTAGTCGCCGAGGCTTTGTTTAGTGGCTAGCGGTGAAGGCGGGTGGCCAGGCCAGCTGCTGGGATGCTGCTCAGTGTCAGCTGTTACTGGCAGAGAGGCGGCGCGCGGAGGAGGCTTGTCATAACCTTGAATTGGAATTGTTTTGTATGTGCACAGCTGGTGAGCTGCTGCTCTTTGTCGACTGTGATAGCAGCTGACACCAGACTGTGATTTGCCTAGTGGTGGGCACGCTGCGGTCCACTCTGGCAACTGCCAGTTCTGACAGAACTCCACATTCACACCCCCGAATTATTTGTCTTTCATAAATGTGTGTGTGTGTTGCAGAATCATAACTATCAGGGCCGTACAGTCTCAGTTTTTTGGCTTCTTTTTTTATTTGCTGCAAATAAAAACCTTGTGTTCACCTTCCACCGCTCTTTCTTAGACTTGCTTTTTACTTATTATTTTAAATGGAGCGGCCTCACCCTGCTGCATGCTCCCGGTGGCTCTTAAGATGTGTTTTAGCATTCAGAGTGCCAAGTAGCAGGAGGTTAAAAATATTTGGATTTGATGTAAAAGAAAGGCACACTTCTAGTTTTCGATAGCTTTGCAATAAAACCAATAGCTGCCAGGAGGTTTTCTTCACATTCTTGGCACCAGATGAGACGGAGAGTGGGATAAATAGTCTTAATATGTGTGTGTCTGTGTGTTTGTGTTTTGCTTCCTCAGCTGGTGGAGCCTCTGACCCCCAGTGGAACTGCTCCAAACCAGGCTCAGCTGCGGATCCTGAAAGAGACAGAGCTGAAGAGGGTGAAGATTTTGGGTTCGGGAGCTTTCGGAACCGTCTACAAGGTCAGTGTGTGGTAAAGCCATCCTGCAGACTCGATCAATGTCAAGTAAATACAGGGTATTGCTGATACCTTTAAGTTGTAAAGGCAGCTTATGTAGGGGACAGCAGTGTGTCACAACTTGTTATGTTGTGTTAACACAATAAAACACATCTTTCAGCTTTTCATGTATTTTAAAGCCAAAATGCCAGATAGTTGCTGTGCTATCAGATGCACTAACCACTGTTTAGTTACAGCTTTCTGATTGGCGTAGAGTATGGCACCAACATGTGAGCACATCTCTCTTAACCCTGCCGTATAGGCTGAATCACACCAGTCCCTGCTTCTCCACAGCAACATATTTAAACTGTAGATGATTTGCTGGATATTGGTAAAATATTTGGTCAACTTCACTGTTATGACACAACACTGACAAATTAACACTACTGGAACTTTTATGGCCCTACACTGTAAATGTCCAAGTCAACAAAACATAAGATTTACATCATTTAAGTAGCTTCTTTAAGCTAGCTACGTATTAATGATGATCAGTTTCTTGCTCTTCTCCCACACTGTGACATTATTTACCCATCCAGAGTGATAACGCATGTAGCTGACCGTACTTTGAAAGCTTTCATCCTGCCAGTAGGGTAAGATGAAGGATTCTATAAAAGATACACGTAGATGTGACTGAACTGGAGATCTGAGTGAGAAATCGCCACTTGGGATTTAAATAAGGAGAGATCATTAGCAGGAATTGAACATCATTTATTGATGTACGGAATTCGATTTGAGGTATTTACCGGTTAGACCAGAATGGCCTATTGCAGCAGAACAGAATCCCGGCGGTGATATTGATTAGGGCAGGGCCCAGCAGTCTAGATCAGGGCTGGCAACTCGAGGCCTCAAGGGCCGATGTCGTGCAGGTTTTAGATATCATCCTGGGTCATCACACCTGAATCAAATGATTAGTTCATTACCAGGCCTCTGGAGAACTTCAAGACATGTTGAGGATGTCATTTAGCCATTTGAATCAGCTGTATTGGATCACGGACACATCTAAAACCTGGAGCTGGTCGTCCCTGGTCTAGATGCTGGTGGGGGAGATGAATATGGAGGCTTGGATGGAACCTGAGTAACTGGGAGAGGCGGAGATGGGGAGGAGGTGGGTTGCGTGACAGCATCTGCAAACTAGAATGACAGATAACCAGTGATATTTAATGTCTGCAGAGTGGAGGCTGATTGGCCTGAAGGAGGCAGGCAGAAAGATGACTGGACTAGACCAGTGATGTCACAATGAGCTTGACAGCATGGCAAAGCGGTCACGTGACTGAATAGAAATTCAGTTGTTGACAATCAACACCAGACGTTCAGATATCTTTCATAGGTCATATTTGAGGGGTATTTCTTCTAATTTTCCCAAAAATAAACAAAATATAGACCTTATCACGCAAGTGTGGAGGGAATACCAATACCAGCATAGGTGTCAGTACTATCGATATTTAGATGAATCGGCACCTCAGCAGACCTCTCTCGGTTGAAGAACAACCTCTGAACAACAAACACAAACCTTTTCTTTTGTCACAGCGTTTCCTGACAGACACAAGCCGAGGGCGGCTCAAGGACCTGGAACGGAAGCTGCTGTTTGCTTGCCAAATTCGCTGCCCTTGGCAAAATTATTCATAGCACCCCGAAAATCAGCAGAATCCATCAAATAAATACTGCACGTTCTACCGCTGGCTCCAAATTCCTCTGGATTCTTCTACTCATCTGCCCGTTTTAAGGCATATTTTATTTAAATTAATCTGCATGCAATTTATGGCAGTACAATCCCACAGCAGTTTGCTTGTAGCAGAATTTAAGCCTCATAACGTGAATTGAAATTGTGATATTTGTCTTTTCTAATCGCTTTATCCAAAGGGTTTTAAACTTAGTTATGCACGAGCTAATTGTTGAAGGCCAACGGTATGTTTTGAAGACGGGGTTGGATTTATTAGAGCTGCAGGAGACAGTTAAACACAACAACCACCATTCAAAGTCAGTTCTGCAGTAGCTCTGTGTGTGAGTGTGTGCCAGGGGTTGTTTATTGGGTACATTTATGGTGATTGCTTGTATATTTCAGGGCATCTGGGTCCCAGAAGGTGAGACGGTGAAGATCCCCGTGGCTATTAAAATCCTCAATGAGACCACCGGTCCTAAAGCCAACGTGGAGTTCATGGACGTGAGTATTTATATCGCAACAATTTGTATCTGTTTTCGGCCGTGTGTGTGTGAATGTGCGTGCGCGAGCCATAAAGCGTTGTCACAGAGACTGCCGGGTCTGTCGCTTTGTGGAATTGTGCATTTGGCGGTAAATTCTTACGAGAGCACCTTCTCAGTCGAAGCCTGTAATAAAGTGAACTCCACCACGCTGTACAGCCAGCCATGTATGGAACAAGACTCTATTAAAGAACAGCACTAGTTTATGAGATATGGCTTTATAGCAATGCAGGAATGATGGAAGGGAGAGGAAGAGGAGGAAGGGCAGGCAGTGGAATTTCCATTTTTTTCTTTCTTTTCTTTTTTTTCACATACACAAGCTTTTGTGTCTCATTTATCACAAGGTTGTGCAAAAAGGTGCCTCATCATTATACAATTGTGGATGCTGGATCATGAACCCTTTCATCTAGCTGTTCATTTCTGTCTTTTTAAATGCAAATATCCCGTTGTTTTCCAATCCACCTTTTCATTTGGGGGGATTTTTGGCTCTTCTTGATCTTATGTGGCACTGAAATGGAGTATTGTTGCATTTCAGGTTGCTGATTGGCTAAAACAGGTCAGCTTAATGTCTCATTATTGTACTCTGTGCATGTGATGAACATGGTCTGTGTTTTGTTTCTTTCCTTTAATTCAGCCAGAATAAAGATTTGAATAGATTATAATGAGAACGTAAATGAAATAGCTGTATGTGATATGCAGATGTTGGAGAACAGCATAAAAAATAATGAAATTGAATTGTTAGCAAAACAATGTGGATAAAAGGTTATCAGTAGCATGTAAAAAAAAGTTATTAAGCCTCGCAGTTGTAATTATTAGTCAAGTAAAGTATCCCGTCTTTCAGTTTTAAGGTTTTAAAAAGTTTGTAAATACAAGCTCAGACCAAGCAGTCATGCCATAAGTCACTGCGTTACTAATTTTAGGCAAAGATAAGTAAAAATGCAGAATCAGAGTGTGAAAAACTAATTCCACTCTCACCGCTTCCACATGAATTAAGAGGGTAGATAGCAGCTTGATGCAGATTATTAAATACTCTTGATTACCTGATCATCAGGAAGTGTGAGCACCTCTATAAAAGCAGACGTTTTTGTCAGTTTGAGTTATAAAGTCATTTCCAAACAATCTGAAGTCCGTCACTCTGCAGTGAGAAAGATTATTCACAGGCAGAAAACATTCAAGATAGTCCCCGATCTTCCCAGGAGTTGACATCTCTGCTAATTCAGTCCAAGGTCAGATCGTGCAGTGTTCAGAGACACTGCAAAAAACCCAGCAGCTACATCTCAGA